AAACTAATGATTTCTTACATATGATTCCAATCCTCTTTTTTGAAGATAATGATACTATTATGCTCACTGTTTTCTGTTTCACTGTCAATGCAGTAATTAATTGATGAATCTCCAATTCAACTGGTATGTCAGATTGATTGGTATACCTTCAAATAAGTTTTTCCCTCATCTGACCTGGACCAACGGTTTAGCTTGATTTCAATACTTAAACTATCACATTCACAACCAAATCTAGAATATTTCAAGCATGTTACATTGTTGTACTTTACATTACAAATTAACTCCTCCATGTTGGCTTTCAATATCCCAGGTCATGTCACAGATCTGGTCCAGCAACCTATACCTCAAAAATAGTGCCAAATGTCTTCTGTCTAATCAAAACAACCCAAACCTTTCAGGAATGACTCATTTTTTTTGGATTCACATCAAGATGCTGGGCTGGCTTGTGTGACAGGTGTTAAAACATATTTACGTTTTCTCTCTTTGAATTGCTGCAACCAGCATTTTCTAGTGATAAACTAAACCAAAACTAATGCATTAAATAACTCTCATTTGGATATGGTGTGCCTAAAGTAAAGGAGTTTACATTAAAAGATTCTGTTACATATTATAATTGTGTAATTTTTGTTATAGCCTCATATAAAGTAGCCTTATGTGACAATTGACATTAAACAACATTTTGAATTTTTGTTTACTGAATAAGAATTATATGTAAAATTTCAGATAGAACAATCAGGAGATACAAAATGTTATTTATTCATAGTTTTCTTGTTTTTAGCATCCCTGGTGGCATCTACTGAAGTGATTTATATACTAAATGCTTTAAAGACAAGCTATAAACATTATTTTAATTCAGATCCATGGTTTTTAAAATGAGTACTTTTCTTGTGTTGTAAAGGCTTACAGGGGAAAAATAATTCCTGACTTGTTTTTCATATTTTGGAGTAGAAATGTAAAAATTGAATAAGTTTTAAGTTATTTATAGACAGTTCACTAAGCTAGTGTCATATAACTAACTACAAATAAATTAATTCCAGTGGATTGGTTTGTGGCAACCAAACTGTTTCTGAAACTTTAATGATTTATAAAACAATTTGCAAAGATTAATGGAATGGAAAAATAAAACTGCGTTCCAGAAGTACAGTACACACTATTCTTTCTTTATTATTACCTTCATTAACAGGATTGATTAGGATCTTTAATATACATATTTTTTATTATAAAGACTATTATTTTGCATTGTTAGGTTACTATATGGATTTAGGACTAACCTAAATCTCCTAAGCTGATTAAACCTTGTGAGATATTATTAGGATTACTGCCAAATGCATTGTAATCTTTATTAGAACAGTATTTGTTTTAGCTATACTTATAACCATAGCTTGCTTTAATCAGAAGTTCATATTAATTCCCTTCTTATTTATTTTTGAAAGTTTTCCATAAAACAAAAACATGTTTTAAAATGTTCAGGTTCATATGAATGGAGGATATCAACAGACATTTGTCGTATATTAAAACGAAGATCAAGAAAATGTTATAGTTTACAGAGACTTTTATACCTTAAACAAACATTCTCATGTGGTAGTAATATATTAGGTGACTTTTCTTCCATCCAAAAATGTAGTTAAATGTGAAATTTCTTCAAAAGAATATCTTTTTTTTTATTTCCCCAAGTTAGATATAGATCGTGTTATTAGGTTATACTTACTGGAAACGATGCATTTAAATATAATACTTAGAAAACTCTGTGCTAAATACCTGAATCATTTGTTGAAACTCTAGTTCCTTGAATCTCCAATCTTCATCTTTTTTTTCACTTTCACTATTTGCAGTTTTCAGTTCATTTTTTAGTTGCTGAGTAAAACAAAACTCTCATTTAAAAAAAGTTTCTATAATTGCAGCTAAGATTTATGTACAAGGTCACATAAAAATGTTGAGTGACTTGTAAAACAGATTTAAGATATAAATGTTTAACATAATCTAATCTAAAGACAGCAACCAAATGAAATTTATGAAAAGTTGGTAAAACATAGCATTTCAATCTCCAAATATTGCAGAAGAAACACAATTAATGTGTGAGCATCTTGCAATATATAATTCTTGATTGAGGACATTTATGCCTCAACAAATTTTCTTCACCATATACTGTACAGTTTGTAGAAAGATAGCCTATGCAATCTTAGTCAACCATTAAACTAAGAAAGGTTATCCAAATGGACTTGCTTAGTTCTGTTTTGCTCTCCATCTACAACATACTGGTTATATATTATTTTCTATAGTGCTGACCGTGCAACATGAGAATAAAAACTGGTGCTACTATGATTGGTTACTTCATTCTTATAAAAAACAAATAAAAAATGTGCACATTTTCAAACTTTCTAGAAAAAATTATAAAATTGAAGGGATTTTTGAGTTTTAAAAAAATTGGAATACTGTGTCAGGAGACAGTTAATTTTGTCATCTTTAAAGCTGCACAATTAACTTGATTAATTACGAGCATTGATTTCACAGATTACTGTCACGGAAAATAATCAATTAACCAAAATTAAAAATTAATTAATTAATGTCATGAAAAATCACCAATTAATTAAAATTAGTATTTTTTGATTATTCTAACTATCCAAATCTCATGTGAGAATAATTGATTAGTTTTACTCTAATTAACAATTTATCAATTTGTGCTGAACTTTAAGCGTGTCAAAGCCAGTATTTAAAATGGCACAAATATGCTTAAAACAAGAAACATTAGACAAGAAGTATGCAAATACCTGACTTCATTACTCTCCTATAGTACATATTTCTTATCTACAAAAATCTTCTAAAAACATAGTAAGTTTTTATTTCAGAATGTACTAAAATTCAGTTGAGATTGTGTGCAAAATTTAGCCTGACATGTTTCTTTTTGTAGCTTGGCCAACCAAGGAACTTATATACTGTTTCTAGAATATTTACATTGTGTCCAGTTTGACCTTGTGTATGGGTCCTTCTGACTGTCACATGGAGCAGAGATCTTTCCGCATTACACTGCCCTTTTTCTAATTAGTCAGCTACAGAGAGAACATACACTGTGAATGCAGTTTTGGTACTTTTTAGGAGAGATTTATTCTGACCTATGAGAAGGGTAGACTTATTCATATCCTAAAAGAGCCAAGACTTGCTTGTAACATTAATCTTTTATCCATTATATTTGTTGATCATTTGAGTCAATTTTCCTTAACAGTTTACTATACTATTCCTCTCTGACTTTATCACAGTGTAATATTCCTCCACTTCAATAATAAGCCTTAATCTTCTTTAATTATTCACATAATAAAGCTTTTGCTTGAACATCATGTCTTGTCTCTTTCAATCCACTTGCAACATATCGCTACACTTTTCCTTCCACATACTAAATCAATGAACTTTTTGTTTATGAGGAAAACAGAGGGCTGTGTGATAGTATAACTTTGAATTACCACAGGCATTCTAATTTAGAAATCAGTCCATATTACACCAAAAGCTCAAATTGAAGTGGTGATAGCTATTCAATTCAAAACAGTACATGTGTTCCCTGGGACATAAAAATATAAATCTACAGAACAATACTGTACTTACCTGGTCTCAATATAAAAATCTAAGAATTTTAATAACAGTAAAAGAAAAATCAAACTAAGCTATTTTCCAAAAGAGATTAAAAGAGGGAATATGAACCTTTTGACAATTAAAAAGAATATTTGTTTAAGAGCAAAGCCACATTGAGCTATCTGCTGTTTCTACAGTGGGGAATCAAGACCCAGATCTTACAGTTGTAAGTCTGTAAAATTATCGCTGCCCAGAAAACTAGAAAAGATTATAACCACTGAAAAGCCTGAATCTGGTGCTTTTGTTTACGTGTTTGTTGTTAAGCACAAAGTTACAAAATGGACTATTTGTGCTGTGCTCAATATGGGTATTTAAGAGTGTACAAAAACGTGCATGTGTGTGTGAATATATATATCGCAATATATATATAATTACAAGTATTAATGACCTGTACTAAGAACCAAAAAATGTCATGCATCTGTATATTTTAGTAGTAGTTTATCTTTATTATGTCTTATAAAAACCTTTATGGTAATCTGTCAAGTCTTGAAGCTTCACTTACTGAAATCTTCAGTTCCAATTCTGATCTTAGATTTTTCTCTTCCTCAAACTCACTCTGTAGCTTCTCAAGTTCCTTCTGCTGTTCATTTGATTCCTTTATTAGATATAAAAGACACATACGCATATTCCATAAGTATTTTATGAGGTTAGCTATTAACAAAATGTTTCCTATAGTGAATTTAGTAAATTTCAATATAATAGTAGCACATAAAATAAAAATGTAATGTGTTTTCTACACATAAAACCTACATTTAATAACTTTTGTATTATACATGTAGTGTGTTCCACATAAGGAAACAGCCTAAGTACTCTAGAACACCTTTTAACCTACCAATTTTAAAGTAGATGATAAATAAAAACATACATCCTTTTTAAAACATTATACTAAAGTCAAAAAAAGGTCAAGGCTTTAAATATATGAGAGTAATACAAGTATTTGCATAACTTGTAGAACATAATCACCCAAACTCGTCCTTATTAATAAATTACAGACATTAAAGGTCAAATAATATCTAATTTCCAAAATTGTTAGTAAATGCCTTTGTGTACAGACATGCTTTTTCATAAGAAAAAGATTTTGATTACTATATGATCAAAACTTTTAACTAAAGAAAAAGAAGTTAGCTTTAAAAATATCAGTTGGGTATCCTTATTCTGAGTTACATTGGAATTGTTACTAATTTTTGTTGTAAATTACATGCAATAACACAGTAAATGACTGAAGGTTTTCATGTCATTAAAAATAAAGTTCATGAAAAGCATCTGTGCTTATTTGCATATTCACCATCTTTGTCACTTCAGAAGCTGCCACCACAACAGTTGCACCTTCTCCTTGACTCTTCTGCTGCATCAGATCCTCTTTGGTGGACCAGTCTGACTCTAAACGAATCATGGCATTCTTCAGCCCTACAACCTGCTCTTGGGCTTCTTTTTTAGCTTTTTTTTCAACTTCAAATTTCACACGTAAATCTTCCAATGTTTTTTTCACTGTTGTGAGGTCACTTTCTAGGTCTTTTTTTACAGTTTGGTCCTGAAAAACAATAAACCGTAGAGTTTTGTACACCACATTAGTAAGTATAAGACAGATCTATAACCAACTAAGCCTACTTATAGTCACTAAACTAAAGGATGTTGCCTTCTTACAGCCCACCTAGTCAGAAGAAGCTTCAAGTTCACACATAAAAGATATTACTAGTCTTCAAAGATAAAGATAAATAACTACTTAAAAAGCAGTTTCACACATTATGTCTCTAGAAGCTTTTTCTTAGCAAAACAGGTAAAATATGAAAAAATAATAATGGTTAAAATAACTTTATACACTAATAAACAATAAGATTAATAAGATGAAGACTTCTAAATTTTCAAAATAATTGTTTAAGACTTCATCCTAATACCTTCATGTCCTGAAGTGTCTGGTGAATGTGACTTAAAATTATTCTTGCAATGTCTATGACATATTATCACAGTCTTTCTACCAGAGTTCCATGTAAAAGTATAAACTTTCAATCCAAAAACAGAAACCAAGCTGGCACAAAAGCATATACATTATTATAAGCAGATACCAAAAAATCACAAATATCAAGCTAATTCCATCATATTATCTTAAGATTGAAATATAATTTATGAACAAACTCTGACATACACAGGTTTAAAAGAGAGCAAAATTAAGTCTTATCTTGAAAATTGTGTTTCAATAGTGGCAACAAATAAAAACTTATGAAAGCATGAAAAAAAAGGATAATATTTTTCCTTATTTTAATACCTATATAATTTTCTGAGTACCTGTTAATTCTGTTTAATCATACTTGGCTTTTTTATCAATTTCTTGATTCAAGCTTCTGTCTTGCACAAAGCCAACATTTACTTTTCTGAAGTTTTACATCAGCCAAGTTTACCAGTCAGCAATAATCCAGCATAAGTAGCAAAGCCAGTACATATCTGACACACGAGGAAATTATAAATTTAAGGGTTATAGCTCTTGAGAGTTATTACTAACTTCACGTTCATAGCATAAGAAGAAAACGTAGTGTTTGAATTAAAAATAAAAAACTAAGAATTATAGGGAGAAAAAACAGGAAAAATAGGGACAATAAAAAGTCTGCTATCAGAACTGCATAATATTATTCACAGCTTGTTGTAGTCTCCTGATAAAGTTAATCTATAATCCAACTCTAATATTTACATTTAATCCTTTTGCAACTGCCTCGGTGGATTACACCAACCATGTGACCCCAGTGATCACTGAAGTTTACATACTATAACTTTTAAAATGTTTTGTATATCTTCACGAAATTTTTTAAGGTTTTAGTAAACATTACAAGTCTTTTGTAGAGAAAAAATCAGAATTTTTATTAAAAACTTGTTTGTGAACATATGGAGTTAGTGTTGACTGCTCAGAGTGCAAAGTGATTTTCCTGTTAAGATTAAAAATGCTTTCCTTCATCTGAAAATTTTCAACTTTCATTTGGATAATCTCTAAAACCTCCTAAATCAATATCAAACATTTCTTTTTTCAAAAAACTTTATATACTTTATCTGTTATTTTTTCTACCTCACTCTATACAGGATCGGTCAATTTGACCAACCTTGTAACTACCATAAAATTTTAAAGGTTGAAAAATAGGAAATAAAGTGAGTCATACTTTAAGTTTCTTTGATATTGACCACAAAGTTCCAAAGTACTTTCCCTGAAAGTTTCTACTTCTAACCTTTACACATCTATTTCCTATATTTATTTTACTGTTAGCAACTGAAGTACAGAACTTTTCAGAACAATGACTTATTCAACAGACTTCAACATGTACTTAAAAGAAGTAAGTGTGAGTAGAAAAAAGGTTTCAAAAGAATGAAGTAGTGGGTGGAGCTACCTGGTAGGTTTGCAAAATACATTAACATCTCAGAAAATCAAAAAGGTAGGAGGTTCTTATTTTATATTCTAACTTGTAAATGTCTAAAGTTTGATTTTTTAATCACTATAGATGTTGTATGGTAGGCATCATAAAAATAACCTGAGGAATAAGATAAGAACAAATGCCATATGACTCACGAAAAGCATACATGGATTTTCTTTCAAATTAAGAAATTAAAACATATATATATATTAAAATTTGAATTATAACCTACATTGTGAGACCAATTTTATTGATGTAGAATGATAATAAAGATGTTTAATTAAATTTTGAAAATAACTCTAAAACATCATGATGAGCCCATTGACTTCCCAATAGAGGGTTTTACATTTCATATTGAGTCTTTGCCAAGATATTTTAATTTTGCCAATACAGCTGGTTAGTACATAAGTAGTGTTTTACATTTTCATATTTTCATTTTCTAAAATAGCCCAAAGTATGTAAAAAAAATATCTCACACCTTTAGATTTTATATGATCAATTTCATGTTCTCAGAAAAATTTATGCAGTACAATAAGCAGGGTGGAGAGTTGTCTACTTGGGGATTACATTCTGGTAATGCAACTGGTAAGAGCATCTATCACAGGACATTAACACTTACTGAGGGTCTGTCCCAGGTGCAAGTCCCAGTCAGAGTAAATTTCTTAACATCCAGATGTATTGCAATGGTAACAAGAATTGTTATTTCATTAAGAGCCATATCAGGCTGAGCAGATGGTGAGTCAAGCCATCTATGTAAATGCTTTGCTCAGTAGTTAGCCTGGTGCATTACAAGCATGTGAGAGTCTCTAGCATGAAGATGCCATATTGCGTATTAACAGTTTAAAGATGTCAAGTTGTGTTGCAGCTTTGAGAATTAGTTTTTTCAGTGGGGAATTATAAAGTGGTTAGGGTGGAGAGTTGTCAGCTTGGTAGTGCAGTTGGTAAGAGCTTCAGTCTCTGAACACTATTGTGAGATCATGCCCAGTCACAATGGATTTTTTTAACATCATGATACTTTATGATATGCATTCTTCATAAAAACAATTCAACATTTGAATTCAGATAATCATATTGAAGTAGCACTTTATTAGGAAGTTAAAAAAAGAAACCTAATTAACCTTTTTCATCTGATTCTTGAGCTGTTCTGCTTCTAACTGGAACTCTCTGATCTCATTAGTCTTGAGTTTCAACTGCTCCTGGCTACAAGACAGCTGACTCTCTAATTCATTGCTTCTTTTTTTCTCCTCTTCCAGTTTCTTCCTAAATGTATATTATCTTTTACATCAAAATTTACATAAACATTATTAAAGAGAGAGAGAGAAGAAAAAAAAAGAGATATATAAAGTTAAAATTTCTTTTCAACAATTTAATTTTCACAGTATTAAAAATGTGGATGAGATCCTAATCATGTTCTGTAAACAATTTTACTAAAGAAGTGACAAATAGTTGAAACAATTCAACTGACCTGGAAGAAAATTTAATTACAATTACTGTAGGTATAAAATTTTAATGCATATTAACTAAAGGTCAAACTATGAAAACAGCAACAGCTCAGTGACAAAAAAAAAATCAAAAGTTTTGAATATTATATATAAAAGAAAAACAATTATGGTGTAAATGTAATATTCAACTCACTGTTTTACAAAAATTAAAATATCCAATGTTTACTGTTTCAATCTAGACAATTTGGTATATTTTTTTAGGGCTGCCCCCGACCAAAGATTTTCCTAGTCGACTAGTAGTCGTTAGTTCAAGCCATTAGTCGACTAGTCATCACATGTTTATAATATTAATTTAATTATTTAAATATGTATTTCTGGGGCATCAGAAAATGGTTTGAGTTCCAGGGCTGAGAAAGAATGTTACTTATAACATTGATAACACTGTGCTACATTACAGAGAAATACAAAACCGTAATAATGAGCCTTTAAAATATAAATTTTACAAGTGCATGCACGAAGCGAGCCACCTGTTAACGACAATGCTAATGGCAAAAGTGGTAATGATTCTGAATGTGTCAGAACAACCAGCAAGGAGACTGAACATTTTGTTAATTCATTTCAACACAGTATAACATCACACAACTTATGAACTTGTAACACCAACACAATAACTTCTAAAACAAATGATAAATAAAAAAACAGCCTTTTGTTAAAAACTAAACTGAAAAAATATTTTCGTCTCTTTTTAAAATGTAAATAAATATAAATTATATAAACAAATGAATAAATAAATATACAGCAAACTGACACACTTAAAAGAGAAATATCAATGCAAAAATAAACAGGCCTACGGAGAAGGAATGAAAACTTTCAGTTTTTTCTGAGGTCAGAATGCAAACAAAAATGTAACATTAACACACATTTCGTTTTTCACAACAGGCCAAACGAATTAGCCTATAACCTATATTAGTAACAAACTGAACAAAGGTGTGTTTATTATATTAGACTAGTCTAATACCTGACTCTCTGTCACTGTTTTTTTCCTCCAATCTCAGTCTTCTCATATTATGAGAAAGGAACGAGTTTGTCCACGTTTTCGGGGAGAAGTGAACTCCGTGTCTTGCTCACAATGAAGCCAGCCTTTGAGAAGATGCACTCCAATGGCGTGGATGTGGAAGGGATGGAGTACACGCGCTTAGCTGCTCTGGCAAGCTTAGGATAGCATTCCTCCTTATTTTCCCACCATATCAGTGCCCCCGAATCAACCTTTGTTAGGTCCTCCAAGTGTATCTTAATTTCCTTGTTCTCTCCTTCTGTCTGCTGCTCTTCATCAGTAGCCATCAGCATGGATATCTCCTGCTGCTTTTCCCTTTTCTTCTTTGGTGTCACGATCCTCTCTCTGAGCAGCTTCCACTGGAGATAAACTCTCAGCCAGATCCGACACCATCAGTATGCCTCGTCCCATTTCTCTGCATTGAAGAATGACAAACTCTTAAAACGTGGATCTAGGACAGCAGCTTGGATATATATGCTGGTCTCAAAACTTCCTGCGAGCTCTCATTTCTTGTCAATTTCTTCGGTTAGTTTTCTCTTCAGTGCTTTCGCAGTCGTGCTGTCATCATCGCACAGCAACAAGTGGCGTCTCTTCATATTTATTAGTATGGGCAGCGTGGCAGACAGAGATGCATTTACATCATGCGAGAGCGGCTCGGATCATAGGTGTCAGCACTGAGACAATGTCCTCTGCTGTCCTCCAATTGGCAGTTGTGAAATCTAGATCTCGATCAGATCGATGGGTGGTACCGGGATCTGAAAGCACAGCTGTAACCGGCCACCTCTGTTCCAGGAGGTACTCCAGCATGAAGTACGTGGAGTTCCATCGTGTCGAGACATCTTGGATGAGTTTGTGTTCAGCCACTTCCTACTGCTTTTGTTTCTCAGTAAGAGCTGCTGTAGCCTTGGCACTTTTCTTGAAATGCCCCACAAGGTGTCTGCCAGTAGCAATGGTTCGACAGATCGGATCTTGTTTCAGAACTGCATTTATGCACAACTGCAAAGTGTGCCCTGCACAACAAACTCCCTGGACATTACCCCAGGACAGGTTATCAGACAGTAGTTCAGTGCACAACATCATATTAGCAGCATTGTCGTGTACGACTGCGATTCTCTTTTCTGCACTAATCTCAAATTCCTCCATCACTTCACCGAGTCACTCTGCTATGTTGGTAGCTGTGTGGCTCACCTCCAACACTTTTGTTTCCAACGAATGAATGTAGTTGCCAATCTTCAGAAATAAAATGTGCAGTTACTGTCATGTAACCCTCCATCTGGTTAGAGGTCCATATGTCTGTTGTGAAGCTGACTACCGTACAACTTTTAATTTTCTTCAAAACTAATTCTTTAGTCGTGTTGTACTTGCTTGTTATGCTGTGCATTACGGTGTCACGTTTAGGAACGCTGTACCCTGATTCGACCATTTGCTTGAAACCTTCACCATGGACGATGTTGACTGGTCTCATGTTAAGCGCAACGAAATACACTATTCTGTCCATAATATCTCTCTTCCTTTTCTCAGAAAGGGGGGGAATCTCATAACTAGTGTTTTCTGAGTTAATGTCAGCCGTGATGATGAAGTTGAGGCTGGGGAGTCATCTTCGCAGTATAGTGGATGCGCTAGAGAGAAATGCACATGAAGTTAAACATGCAGTAAGGGAGGTAATTTAGCTTCCCCAGTCCCCGCGAACACTTGGATAAGCCTAATAGCGCATATGACAATATATTTATTTAGCTGCATATAGCCTTAACTTTGCAATTCGTTAACGAAATGTAAAGTTAAATTAGGACCACAGTATAGCTCGCACTCCATAACAGTTTCTAAACCGCATATCCAAAGCTATCTGAAAAAATGGCATGGAAAGGGAGCACTACATAATGTTGTAATAGCTCACTTCTCGTGTGATTTTGGCATTCTGTTAATTTGAGCAGTGACGTTGAATGCCAAGGAATAGCCAAAGTAAACACCTCTGCTTCATGTTGTGGATTAACAAAGTGGATCACAAAATGAAAATACACACCAGCTTCGGTGATTGTAAGTAACAGATTTCTACTACTAGTCTGCTTGCTAGCTAACTATTTTGTTACTGATTCTGTGCGATTAACATAATTTTATCAGTGTTGTAGCTATCACAACTCTACTAAGCTAGCTCCCGGCCTGGTTGGCTGGATGCCAGAACGTTAAGTTCCATTAGCAAGCAGCTGGCCATCTCACTTTCGTAACTACCTAATGTACACAGACGCTTAAAAATGGATAATATCCCGTTTGTTTTCTTAAAAACTGTATACACCATGGAAAAGTATAGGGATTGAAGTATCTGAGTGGAAGCGACATCCGACAGATTCTCCCAGGCCACTACACAATTAGGTCATTAATTATTTAGCATAATGGAATAATAACGTTAGGCCACTACATGTTTCAGATGATAAATCATGTTTGAGGTCGACGAATGATAGGCGAATCTTTGCATGCAGTTTTCATGTCACCTTCTTGGGGTCGTCCTTTACACACTCAAAATGATCCCACACTTTGGATGATTTCCTGCCTGAAATAGTCTAATAACTTTTTAATGACAAGGCACAGCTCCCGAATGGAGTTTGAGGGTTTTTTGTTTTTTTCTGCGACCAACCCGACTAATGAAAAATTTTACTTTTAGCCTCAGCACTGACTTGGACTACAACTATTTTATTAACCTAAAATGTAACAAGAACAGAGCTGTGTGATATACTGGTTTTATTCAGTTTTAAATCCATGCCAATTGGTTTCAACTTTGTTACTTTATGTAAGTAATACATTATTGCTGAGCATTATATCAATTGTCTCTAAATGATTGAAATGGTTGGAAATGAAACATTACAACTTGGCAATGCAAATTAATTTTGTTCATGTCCTAAATAACATGGCAATCAACTTTTATTAACTCCATAAACTGTTAGTCCACACAGTGCTAGTTTAACTATATGTGAATAATGAAATAACACTTCTTTCCAAAAAAAAAAAAAAAAAACACTTTAAAATTAATTAATTATTCATACATATTGCTTGACTGGAGAATCCACAACTTTTCTCATGAATTAAGTCTTTTGATTCACAAAATGAAGTTACATCATTCTAAAGCTGGTGCTTCAGGCTATAATTTTACCATGATAAAGCTAATTTTTGAACAACATGCATGATAATCAAATCAATACACAGAACTGTACATACAATGTTACATCAGTATCTATCCTAATCTAACATAATGTTATTCACAGGGGTAATAAGTGACATGTTGAATGTTAAAAAAATTAGTTCTATACTAAAACATTTCATTATTAAATGCAACATCCTTACAAATTTTATGCTAAATCTTACTTTATTTCTTCTATCAGCATCTCTTCTCGCTCCTTGGATTTTTGTTTGAAAGCCTTCATCAATTCCATAGCCTTCTTCTCTGTTATAGATCTGTCCTGTCTTTCTACTTCTAATAGCCTTTTTATTGTCTGAAGAAAAACCATCAGTTATTGAAGCATACTAACTTGTGATCAAAGCAATCTACCTACACAGTTTAGAACTAAGAATTGACCCAGTATTGAATATGGTTAATTGCTCTTACTTATAATGATTAGAATGAATTATTTCAGTAGTTGGGAACACTCAATGTTATCTGTGTTTCTGCCCATAATCCCAATGATATCTCCCAAGATTCAGCCAGTTTAAGGGATCTAAGTTAGTCCTACATCCACATACTAAGTTAACAATACAAAATAATCCTTATAATAAAAATGTATTTATATCAAACACTTTACTAAATACTGTTACTTAAAGTAAGAATGAAGCATAACTTGCTAAATGTTAAAGAAAATTTAAAAAATCTACTTCAAATTTCTTAAGTAACATAGATATAAGTTTTTCCATAATTCAGGAATAATAATTTTATCTAGAACAAGAATGATTTGCATACTTTTTATATGCTCAAAACAACTTTTTTCATTAATATTTAGCGTGGATAGCATTCAAAACCAACCTTTGACAACAATTAAGCTACTAATACATTAAAATTTTCTTAGATAAAACAGCTATGTGTAAACATATTTCAGATTCTTTTTTTTTGTATAAAAAATCTTGCAAATTCACATACATTATATATATGATATCTCTGGCATACTTTGTATACAAAACATGAAAGCTTGTTTTATTTTCTAATCACAAACTAATTCCATTATTCCAGAGCATATAATTATTATAATACTTTCTTTATTCTACTAATCACAGATAACTGGCTGCAACAAAAACTTAATTTTGTCACATTTTTTTAGTAAAATAGTTTCATAAAAGTCCTGTTTCCAGGAAATACAACTGTATTACCCACTTATTTTTTAGCTTACATATTAGTAGAAAACTTCAAGGTGTAATGACTGTTAGGACAGGAATCATGTTCTAAACACTTTCTATAACTACCACAGTTCTGGGATACACTCTAAAAATAGTGATAATTCATTTACGTTTATTCTGTGTATTTGAATATTATATGCACAACATATAAATCCTGGGTAAATCATAACTTTCCTTTTTCAATTTTATATTAGGGGTAATCATCACTTTTACATACGTTATTTGGTAAACACAGAAACAAAAACCACAAATATCAGCAATATAAGTGTCTGTAGTGTAGAACTGAGTAAAGTCATACTGTGATCATGTGACTTTTTGGTGATTATATCAAGACTGCTTCAATGGGCAAGGTAAAAATCAAAAACATTGATATTACTTGTATAAACAGAAACATTCAAAGGAGAAATACTAAAGAAAATAAAGGCTTTCCTCATTTTCTCTTTATCTTTCAATTTTTCCTCAAAATGTCAGTGGTTTATCTAGAAACACAGAATTATGTAAACTATTACTTTAGCAAAATACAGAAAAATAAAAGATGTACATAGAGTTGTTATTGTTATTAATTTCTGAACAAAGTTTAAAAACTTAAGAAAAAACACCCTTATGTCACTAATAGAATCTACGTAAAGAAAGATAAAATGATGTTTACTTTGACTTCTGACTCTTGCTGTACAAGATCTTTCTGAAGGGAATCTCTCTCCTCTTCTACATTCTGATGTTGTTTAGCCTTCTGATCCAATTGTAATTTTAGCTGTTTGATTACTTCTTGATGCTCAGACTCTTTGCTTTTCAAGGAACATAGCTCCTGCTGGAGTAGATGTAATTCTTTCTTAGAGTCTTCTGTATTTACAGACTTAACAGGAGAAGAGAAACTTCCTTCCAAAAAACCAGACCTGCATGAAAGATTATAGGCTTTAGTAACAATGCCATATTTAGAATTGAAATTAAGTTACGTTCTTACCTCTGGATGAACAGCTGTCAATACTCTGTCAAATTACTGATTTAAGTTTCTTTCCTCCCACTTTTAATACATCATTTTTAATTTATAACACAACTTTTTTTCTTAAATTGTAAAAATGCTCTGAATAAGTATTACAGTGCATGATTGAGACTCAAAAATCAATCTGAATACTAAGTGACAAGGAGTTATGAAATTAAGTTGCAAAAAGACCTAAGAATAAAATATCCTTAAGTGTTTTAAACTCTCCAAACTTTAAAATGAAAAGATCAAACCCAAAAAATGGTACAATTATCCAAAAATTAATGTATGTGGGAAGTTTCATGTGGGCCAAAACCTGAGGCAAGGGAAAGTATACAATATACCTTAAAAATCCAAAATGAAAAAAAAGAAAAAAAAAGGTTCAAAAGCACTTAAATCCAGCCCCAAGTAACAGAATAATATCCAAGTATCAAATCATGAAACAGTAGATATTAAAGTAAAACAACTGTGAAAACACTTGGTACAAGTTTTGCAGATTCTCAAAAATCAACAAGGTTTCAGATCACTGGAGAAAAGACAATGAAAAATGAGAAACTGTTCCAGATACACAATCAATTCATAAAGACTTTTCATTGGCAAAAGAAATCTCCACAAGAACTAGGTTCATTCATGCACTTAAAAGTAGGCCACATGTATACAATAGCAATACAACCCGATATCAGTAGGCTAGTTCGATGACTAGGAACCCACTTTGAGACTAATAATGGTTGGAGATGGCTTGAATGGGTAATGAAGAAAAACTTTAGAATAAGTTTAACATAACAGCAAATGTACAACGTTGATGATAACAAAACCTTGTCGAAACGTTGTACATTTGCTGTTATGTTAAACTTATATTAAAGTTTTTCTTCATTACCCATTTAAGCCGTCTCCAACCATTATCAGTAGGCTTGGTTTAGGTTAAGTAAACTGTTTTATGGCATTTAAGAGTCTAATCCCATGATGTCAAATTTTACATAACTTACATCAAAATAACTTTGTGCAGTTGTCACCAGAGAACCTTAAAAATCATAATATTTGATGATGCAGATAGCAGTGATTGTTCATATTTTGTTTATAAATAGTGTAGAGCCTGACAGACAGTTTTCTGCCTTCAAAAGTCTTAGAAACAAGTTGAATGAGGAATGTCTCTAAACTTTAGTTAAAATTCAGTGGATACCCCAAAACAAAGTGACCTAGAGTGTGAACCAATTTTAATAAAAGCACTTAACTATTTCAAGTCTCGGAGAGAGAGCAGAAAATATATAAACTGGCAGATCAATTTTGTGAACTCTTTTTTTGTACGTAGTTCATAATGATAATAAAGTCAAGTATCTAAATGAGTTACTGTATAGCTATAAAATTTTCATTCAAACTAAGATTTTCTTTCATTTGACCCCATGCTATTTTCCCCACCAGTCAAAATAATGTAGTTAATTTAATCTCAACAGCAACACTGTAGAAAAAGAAAGTGGACAGATATATCAATTACCAACTCCCAAGCTCTTATACATTAAATATAAACAACTATGAACTCTAGAAAACATGTCTGAAAAACACATTTTAAAGTTGGAATGTTGCAAACATTCAAGCTTCTTAAGTTTGTAGCTATCACTGTAGTATCTTTAAATCCATGTCAACCATATCTAGGTTAAAGATGATACAGATTGATGTACTAAATGAAAGAAAAAGTTAAATTTGTCACATAAGGCTTGTAAAATTTGAATGAAGTATTTTCATGTTTATAAATATATTCTAATGGCTTTGAAAAATGGTTTGGGAGAAAGATAAGAACAAAATTTTTATTGAGGGGAAGTGCCAAAAGATGCAATACGTTTTAATTCATGAGCTCATCAGATACTCTTCGTAATAAATGACTGAAAATAAATTTCTAATGCTTGAAAAAAAAACTTAACAACTTATTGTTAACAAAAAGAAAATTATAGCAACATAAAACATTCCATTATAATTATAACATAAGCTCAGGTTAAATATGCCTTTAAAAAAAACAACACTAAAAATAGGCTTAGTTTACCTATCAAACTGGGAACTGAGACAGCTAGTGTAAGTAAAGCCAACAAATGGTAGGTTTTTTCCACTGAATTCTTTATTTTTCATCAGTTCTACTCCCAATGGCCTAATAGCTTCGTGTTCAAATTCATCAAAGTTTGAAGTGTCGTCTTGACTACTGATGTTTGGAACAAATGGTGGTACAGCTAAAAAAATTTTCCTTATTATTAAAATGAGAAAAATAAAGTAAATTTTAAACAATTAAAAAGTGCATGTCATCTGTTTCATGATGCCAAATAAATATTTCTTTTTTCATATACCTATATTATTGACATAAAACATGACAGTGTTGCTCTTCTTAATACTTTCTATGACGATTTTTTGAGGCAAAATATGTACTTTAAACACACATAGCAAGTCTGTTCATTTAATTATTTTTCATTAACAAAGGTAAGGGAAGTACCTATAACCTGTCACTCTTTCTCTAATATATAAAAATAGCTGCTTAATTATAATTAATTTTATTATTCTAGCTTATGAGGTAAAAAAATCTAGAAAAAAAGGCCAGACATCATAATGATTTGATTAACATGAAAGATATTTAATTTCATATAGTAACTATGCCAATCTACTATGCATGGTAAAAGAAAATAATATTGTCATCTAATTTTGATATATTTTCAAATATAACAAATTTGCAGAAAAATTCCTAGCTTGCCAATTTTCAAAACTTTATTAATTAAGATATCTAAAGAAGTACATAAATAATGTAGCATTTATTGTTGTTAGATAAATCACAAAGAAAGGTGTTTGTCACTGTATTAAAACAATTTTGGAGCCTCATATATCATTACTGTCCATCTGTCATATCTAGTTATGCTCTATCTGATGACCATGCATCTTAATAACAGCTCTGCATTTTTTTTTGCAAAAGGCTCTGTCATAAACCTTCCATGTCCATAGCACCCTATTCCTCTTTGCTTTCTATCCATAATCCATTTAATGTACAAAGACAATAATTTTCTAACACCTGATTCAACAGTCTGATCTCACAGACATCCATAGAAGCTGCATCTATAAGAGTTGCTTGAAGTATGCAATTGTTGAACGGATATGTTGTGGAAGCAGCTTTGGTAAGTGTAACTTGTGTCACTTTTCCAGATATAGAACGTTCTTGATTATTGCATACTGTTGCTTGGGGCTCATGGACAGCCTTTTCCAATGACCTTTGTATTTAAGGATTCTCACCTGTTACAAATGGCACACCATGGTTACCATGGTTAGGGTATGAATTGTTGTAAGTCTCTTTCCTCATTGGTCCCAATTCCCCAGGTTGATCCATATTCCTTTTGTTTTTAAATGCAATAAAGTAAAAGTGGTATCTGCATCTTGGAACTTCTAAATCCCAGATCTGTATACATCCTTATGATCTGAGTGTATGAATAATTTGCATCAGTGAGGGCTGTTACCTACTTTTCCCAAAAGAAATCCATCAATTTTTGGTGGCATCATACTATTTATAAAATGTCAAACAATGTCAAAATATAAATCTGACACATGCCTTTCAAGAGCAAATTTATTGTAGTTATTAAATGATTTGCTTAAATGCAGTATTCAATCTTCTCAAAAACAAACTTCACACGAGTAAAAATCATTCTTTGCACAAGGATAAGCAAACAGGAAATACACAATTATTCTACATTATATTCAACTGTTTTCCCGAGGCAATGAATTAAACCTAATGTATTCTGCTTAATTTATTTGTGACAAACAAAAATCAAGAAAATTCATGGGAATTAAACATTTTCAATCACATGTTATTGTAAAATTACATTTTAACTCCTTAAACCCAAGTACACTTCCAGCATCTGGCCAAAAATCCCGATTTACACATCGGATGGTGACAGCATCCAATAACATTTATGTCTCTTTGGCTGAAAAATAATCCAAACCATGTTATTATACATCTTTTATAAGTAGACTGGAAATTCTGTGAAGCATTGTCATTTGTTTTCAAACAAATTTCAGATCAATTTAAGACCAATTTTTTCAGTTTTCTTGTGAAGTCTAACAATTTTTATACATAAATTGTAAAACAAAGATGGCAAGTGGAAAATGTTTTATTGCTGAGCAAGTAATGAGACTGTTTCATCAGTTAGATGAAGTAGGGAGTGATGATGATGATGGTGATTCTGATCTTGAATTTGACTTTGGAAGAAATTCTAGTGATTAAAGCAACTCGGAACAATCATTGTTACCCAGTTCCAGTGCTTCTCAATCAGCTAATCAGAGGAGAGAATCGCCCTAACAGGTCCTAGTGGTACAAAGAGGACACAAAAGTGAGCCCCAGTTTGACCTTATCCACCTCATAGATCAAGTTCAGAGCCAGAAGTAATGATTGAACTGAGGTAGATCTGCAAGATAGGTTAGCCACAAGTAATGACTTTGAGTTTTTTACCAAAGAACAGGCATTATCTTGGTGTACACATTGATATGAATGATAACTCAATGCCCTTTGACTGTTTCAGAGCTCTGTTTACAGAAAATGTAAGTAATATTCTCATCACTGCTATCAACAAGTATGCCAAAGCACAAGTTGCAAAGAAAATGCCTGCTCAGATATGATTGAGGTATTTGAACTGGACTTTCTTTACCCACTATGAGTTGCTGAAGTTTCTTGCAATGACAACATCAACAGGCTTCAAAAAAAACAAACTAGCATTCAAGACTACTTTGCCACCAACCAATCTCTCTACATACCCTTCTATCACCAAATGTTCAACAGAGGGGTTTAAGGCTATTTACTCAACACTGCTTCACATGTGTACCCCTGATGCTGAAGAAAAAAACAAGATTAGGAAAACTGGAATTTGATAAGGTATGGTGACAATTGTTAGGACATCATGAAAATAATTCTAGCAGAATGCACAAAAAATTATGAGTTTAGAGAGTTAATACTAGATTGTTAAACAAAAAAACTTTACAATGGTTGAATAACAATTGTAATAAATTTCATAAAGTAAGTATATATTAAACTATCACTTCAAATACACAAAAGTTCAATTTTTTGTCATCATATATATTACAAGATAAAAATAAATCATTTTAAATATCAGTATTACTTGAAACTATTTTTAATATAAAAGCAAAATATTTCTTAAAACTTACTCTGAAGCATGTTGTTCCAATCCATATCAACAAAAAATTCATGTTCACAAAGTTCATTGTATCCTAAACGCAAAGTTGCTTCTTTCAAGAGCCTTTTTATCAGATCTCTAGCTGGTGCTGATATTTCTGGTTCATCAGGAAAAGTCAAAGATTTCTAAAATTAAACAATATAAAGTAGTTGTACACATATGAACATAATATCATAGAGTCATTAGTATCTGTCTGTTCTATATCCATTATATAAGAAATAAACAGTAACAAATATTAACCTATTTATCCAGTATTACATGTTATATTATATGATTTATAATCAATGTATTATTTTAGGCCACTCTATAACAATTATACGCATCAAAATGTTCATAACATATAAAACATACTCAGGAAAACAACCTAGTAAGCTTGCAGTCACATGCAGCCCAAATCTTGAAAAGGAAACAATCAAGATGGGTAAAAGTACATGTATATAAAGTATTGATGGCAGACTCTCCTAGACTCATTGATTAAAAATACTTTTAAGTTTAAATGATCAAATACAAACAGAAAATAAACTCTTGTAAAACAGTGCATAAAGACACACATATTAAGAGTTAAAAAAAATAGAAAAATGAAAAGTACAAATAAGAAATACGTACCAATTACCACCCTCTTCTTTTTGAAGCCTAATATTGATGTACGGTATCAAAAATAATTATAGAAAATCATAGATGATACATATAGTCAGAATGAATGGGTAAAAGTTTAAAAAACAAACTGCTCTTCTCAAGGGTCAGAATGAATTTCTTCAAAAATACCATAACTAAATATACAAAACACATGCTCTTTGTAGTTGATAAATCAAAAAATAATGCCAAAATGTGAAAATATCTGTGCTCCATGTGACAACCACAAGATATTATCAAAACACAAAATCAGGCAGGACAAAGTTCAATGATCCCATGAAAAGGCAGATAAAAAAGCTTCAAAAATCAACACCTTAGGCTACAATTTATCATGTGACCTCAACCAGATTTAGAATTAAATTAAATTATCAGAAGTAAAACATGGTGGTCACTATACTACAATGGTTCACTGTAGCATTGAAATAATTCTAAGAAATTGTAAACCCATAATAATATGATGAGAAAAATATACTTGTGCCTGTTACAGTCAGGATGTCATAAATTTTATGTAGATCTCCAACACTAATGGCTTAGATACAACCCACACTTGCATTGATCCTCCAGCATACTTCACTTAGATGTTATATGTTGACCATGGTATGATTCTTCTCTCTGCTATCAAACTACCATTGACTGTTGCCAAACAATGAACTGGGATTCACCTATAAAGAGAATCCTCCCACAGCTTTGCTCGTCCTATTGTTTGAAGTACAGTGCCCATTTCAGCTATTGGTTATCTCTCCTCAACCATAAGTTTTGTGCAGCTATGCATCCATTCAGGCCATTTTGTGCTATGTATCTTACTGTTCAAGGGGTAGCATTGACATCTGTACTTACAACTAAGTCATTGCAAGATCTCTAGTGAATGGTCATATATCACATAAAGAGCATACCCTGAATTACTTAACATTTTTGAAGAACTTGGGCTTTCTACCTAGACCACTGCTATTATCAATAGTCCTAGTTTCACATATCTTACACATTTGTCATGTTGCATTTTTGTCCTTGGAGCCATAACTACATTCATCATGCTATTACTGGGAATAGTACGACTGTCTGTAATTAAATAGACATCATGCTGCTGTGGCACTGTGATTGGTTGGATGACAGCCAAACACAGTGTAAACTATGAACATAATAGTACAGCTCATTTTCATACAATAGAGGGAAAATAATCCTATAATATTTGCATTTTATATTTATACCCATTTTATTCACTGTTTATATTATTATTTCCAATACTGTGTGTGAAATAAATCACTCTGGGCTTTGCAGCATTTTGGAAAAGTATTATATGAATAAAGTATTTACAAAGAAAGTGTGAAACATGAAAAATACACTAAAAATGATGAAAAAGTAGAATATCCAAAAAAGTACTTAACTTTAAAAAAGTATGAAGTGCAAGCACTAATAAAAATAATTTCTCGTATATACTTCACAAATGACTAAATTTAAAAAAAAAGATTATGTCTCGACCTATTTATTTATATGAAAAGATGCAGGACTTGTGTTATGAAATTAAAAATTATGACTTTTCCCCTTTTAGATCAATGTTTCATCGTCTGTTTTCAATGGAGTACAGTGGAGTGTGCTGGGAGCAATTACAAAAAAAAAAAAAGTATCAATAGCAAGTACATTTTGTTGGTCTGAATGAATTTCTTTTCACACAACACATCACACATTCATAATACAAGCACTTTCAAAAAAGTAGACTTTCCTCTTTTAGGAAAGAAATGGGAATGTTTACATGGCTATCTTTTCTAAATATTGAGCACTTTTATATTTTTGCATGTTACAACAATCAGTGTAAAGTACTGACCAACACAGTGTATGAACTCACTACAAAATATACTTAGAATCTTAATAGGAATTAGTGAGATTAGCTGCAATTATAATGGTATTAATATTTAATTTCAGTCATGTGAGTTACGTTATTATGGACTCAATAGTCAACATTCATAGACTAAAATCTCTTTGGTGCTTAGACAGTATAGGAAAACGTGCTTATAAAACCTTAGGTGTCCATTCAATACTAAGATTAAGAATAAATCTACAATTAAAACGAAATGGAAAGTGAGTCACACTGAAAATTTATGTTTGTCAGTAAGTGAAATATAGTTCAATTTTTCTTATATTTATATATATATAGTTTTGCATTTTAAACTACTGAAATTTTATTAGTGTATATAACCTGAAAACTTTATGTTGCAAAATTATTTTTGCCAAAACATGTTTTATTTATTTCAAACCCCCATTTACAAAACTAAAGAGTATAAAAACTGCTTACCTTTGACATTTTTTCCACTGCTAATTTAAGAGAATCTTACTCAATTTCTTAAAAATTATAGCATAAAAATTTTGACTTTTATTATCATTAAACACACCTTAAAGTTCATGATGTTGCTGTATGTTGCAACCACTTTATCATCTGTGAAAGGTGTGGCCCCATAAAGCATCTCAAATGCTACAATCCCAAGAGACCACCAATCACACTCTACTCCATAAACAGTACTACTGGATGGTCCACCATTCATGGCCAGCAGCACTTCTGGTGCAATATAATCTGGTGTTCCAACTGGCATCCTACTTGTAACCTTAAATAACAGAATAATAATATTTCCTTTAGCATATGATCATTACATCATTAAAGATTTAAAGAAAAAAAACAAGAATGACTTGTTACAAGTTTCAAATTATTTTTAAATTATTTTGATATTAGCTGAAGCTCTCTAAAACAGTGATCAGTCTTAATAATAATTAGCACAGTGTAGCATCTCACCTTATTTTATTCACATTTGTCAGTCTTGATTCTTTAAAGCACTTAATTACAAAAATACTCTTTCACTAAAAATAATCTAATGATATTCCTTTTTTGATAAACTAAATACTTCACTATTAAAACTAATGGGTTATATTTAATTATTCCATGAAAAATCAAGCTCAATGTATGTACATAGCTTAATAGGTTGTTTCTCTTAGATGCACTAAAAATTAAATTTATTTTCTCTTAAATATATCTCTAAATCAAATATATTAATCTAGGTAATTGCCAAAAAACAACAACAGTGTGAGTGTGGGATGACATGTGAAAGAAAAAACATACCGTATTGTGTTCACTGAGCTTAGCAGCAGAACCAAAGTCAGCTAGTTTGATATGACCTGTTCGGTCTATCAAGATATTATCAGGTTTTATGTCTCTGATGCGGGAAAAACAAAAATATTGGTTATAATGATGAAAAAAGAAAATAAAAAATTAAACTTTATATGAATAGAAATAAAATGTACTACATCAGCAAAAGAACAGCAAATTAAAAGCATCATCTAATTATCCATAAGAGATTTTACTTTGGTAATAATATACGTTTTTAAAACTTTATGCCCCTAACCTATTGTAACATTCTACAACACAGTGAGAGAATGCCTATGAAAATTAAAGATTTGTAAAATGATTATATTTAATAAAAAATTTTATCAATTTAACAATTATGTAATCAACTTCTATATCATTAAAACTAGAATTTCAGCATTATGATAACAGACTAAAAGTTCACAATGTAATAAAAACAACTGCACACAAACAAAAAACCGAAGTAAAACATCTTATTTGGGTTATATATGTAGATAAATCAAAAAGTCATTGCTACCACAGGTTCTCTAATTATTTTAAAATTCACCTTGAACCAACTGATAATACTGAATTATCAATAATTCTTTAAGACAATTTACTTTAATAACCAGCTTTATACAATGCGTTGTCCATTAGCCAAAGACCAGTCAAAATAATTCAGTAAATTTTGCCTGATCACCAGTCTGGCCACAAGCAATGATTAAGTGTAGCAAGTTTTACTGTATAATGATTAAGAGCCCATTCTCCCAAGAAAACACAGCAAGTACATGTAGCTTTTCCTAAAATCACTGATGCAAGCCTGATAAACACAAAACAAGTGATTTTAGCAATGCATTACTCATGATGTTACCTCATACTTAGGCTTAACAACTGTTCTTCTTTCAATACTGTAGTACAGGATGCCTCTTACCCCCCCCCCCCCCTAGTTAAGATGTAAATCTTTTTAAAACTATCATGTCTTTCAGGGTTATAGTTTAAATGCTGATAATTACTCAAGTAACACTTTAACTTTCCTTATTTCCAAAGCAAGCAAGATTTGGATTCAATAGCTGGCAATTAATCAACTTATATAGTGCACATTCAATGATTTCTTTCTATTCAGGGACACTGGCAAATAGTTCTACAGTTATGAAAGTATAAAACCTCCAAGTAATAATTTGCATGCTATTCCAAAGAACTCTACTATGTAAATGCTTTGTTTGTTTGTATTGAAGGGCATAGCTATTCAATGGGCTATTTGTACGGTGCCATGAACCTTACCATTGAACCACTAGGGGCTCTGTAAATGCATTACTGAACTTTTTAAACACTGTAGCAATATCAATGCATTGAAAACCTAAAACACACAAAGTAATTTTTCTAATAATGAAGCACCAATACAGAAATTTGTAATTTTGATAAATGCAAAAAAAGAAAAGAAAAAAGAAAAGATTTTGTTGTACAACTATGAAATTAATGAATAACCATATATATACTGTCTGCAATTTCATCAAGGAATATAAGGTGATCTGGTTTAGTAATTCCGTAAGGCTGTAAGCCAGACATTGAAGATAAGATGCTGTGGTATTTTCAGTTGAAACCAATTTTCTTTAAATTGATGGGATAGGTCTGCTGAATAAAAGGAGATTCAACAAGGTATCATTTACAGAGTAATTCTGTATTCTACAGAAACTGACCAAGTTTATGAGAATAAAATAGACACACAATATACAATCATTATGTATTAACGTAAATACAGTGTGTATATTTGCTTCATGCTGGACAGTCACTTTTACTGGAGAGCAAGCTGTTTAAACCAAATGTTACTTTCAAGATAATATTGGAATTACTAGAGCAAATAGCATTAACCACATGACCGGTCATTCTCATTCAAACTTAAGGGAGATCATAACCTAGAAGCATCACCTGATCTACCAGTGGAGGACACTCTGTTGACATCCTTGCATAACATACAACATTACAGCCCTACCCTCTCATGGGCAGAACATGAATTACCTCAAGAGAATGATAAAGTATAAAGGCAGCTAGAGAAAAGCAGTAAATGTGTTATGTCAATAGAATGATACAAAATAATAGGTAGTAATTGCAATAGTAACTTAACATTTTTGACATGTTATACAGAAAGTGATCAAACATCTAAATAACTGATGAATTTCAAAAAATTCAATATAAAAATAAGGAAGTAAAAAATACATAGCATGCTTGCATACCACAGTTTTACTACCCCTTTTAACTCTGGCTTGTCCTCAAGCCAACATTAATTGTAAACTTTAAAGCCAATAAAATCAATACATACACATTGATAAAGAACCATTGTAGTTTTCTTTAATTCCTACAAAACCCACACAACAGAAGCATCAAAAATCTTTATCCTTATATGTATGGTATTAGTTGATTAAGCATGTTATGTTCAAAACTTAATTAAACCACTTTATTATCAGTTTATTTCAAAAAACGTGGCACCAAAAGTAGTTTACAAATCAAAATTTCGTATTATCTAACTCTTAATTTCTTGATTTCAAAAGGAAATATTTAAAAATTTTCTCAAGTTTTCACTTCTATTATTGTATGCTCTCAATCCTCCCACTTTTAGTATAGCTTCTACAGTGTTTAGCTAATATAACCACAAGCTACAAGTAATGAAAAGGTCAAATGTACAATTTCAATGTTCTAACTTCTCTATTTGCTGAGATATCAATATATTTTTGAAACCCACAACAAAAACCCCACTCACCTATCCTTCATATTCAAAGCAGTTTTCATACATTCTTTTTTTTCTGATTATATGTACATCTTTATAACTAACAGAAAGAGCATTCTTTTTCTCTATTTGAAGACTGCAACTGTCCTTTTAAATTTGGCACCAATAGACATTGCTTGAGAAGAAGTGATTGGTGTGTGTTTAGGCTATATCTCTTAGAAATAAAGGAATTTTTTTTATCCTATTCATAACTTAGTTTAGAAGCTTTAGGATACTCATTTTAATGACAGATATATATTTTTGTGTTCTAACATGCATATTTGAAAGGTATGTGAATTTTTGCTTGGACAATGAACTTGGAAAAAAAACTAGGTCTATTTAGCTATGTGTTCAAGTGCACATATTTCACATTGTGCACTGCATTGCCATACGAGAATGCTAATGTGTTCCCCCTGTGATGTACTGCTTTAGGATGATTTTCATGCTAAAAATAAAAATACATCTTTTTATTTTACAGTTTTCATATTTAATTTGCATAACCATGAAAACCTAATTGAATATTTCAAGTTGTTTGCAGCAAAACTTTTTATTTTCTCTGTTATGTTTTACCCATATACCAACTGCAGCTAAAATCATCAATGTACGGTTGAAATTTATGAAATAAAACGAAAAATATCTTTTTCTTCTTTTCATTGTGTCATTTGTTGCCGTGTTATATATATATGTGTGTGTGTGTGTGAATAATATTGACAATTCCAACTTTTAACTCTTTCAGATTTTGATTTTATTGTCTGGCTTTTTTCATGTAAGTTGTTTGTCCATTTGATGAAACTCAGTTTGACTCAGTATTAAATTCACAGCCAAATCTTTAGTAAAATTACTTTATTAAAAAATCTGATTTTGTTTGCAACATACTTGTAATGCTTATTAAATGCTTACCAAACTTTCAGAATTATATTAATAAACATTTCTATTTATAGATTATGGAAATGGGGTCGGTGCCAAGTGCCAATGGCATAAACAAAGCATTAACAAAAGAAACACAATTCAACAATGTTACATCAAAAATATACCCGTTAACAATAAAATAATTCCTAATTACACTGCAACAAAATAACTAACACTTGTTCATTGGCGATGATCACATCAAATAAATAAATGCTTTAATAAACAATACAACACAAAAACACACTTTAATGCATATAATATAGAAGTCAACATATTACAAAATATAAATTCAAATGTTAAGAGGAAAGAGCCTAGAAACCTGAAATTTTGCACCCATACTAAGTGGACCCTGAGAGTATTATTACTTATCTGCATGCACATCTTTTTGATTCGGCAAGCTAGCGAAAAACCACATAGAAAAGAAGTGTGACTGCCATAGCTCCAAGGGGAAAGAAGTGCATTTTCAGTGTTGTATATCTTTTTGTATAAATGTATTGTGTTTCATATTTTTTATTCTGCTATAAAGGATTTATTTCATTCTGTTTCTATGTGTACTGTATTGTAGTTATTGAGGGTTATTGTATATTTTACAATCTTTGGTTGCATTTTATTTAAAGGGCCTGTATAAATGTGTATATGTTTTGATTTTTTTTTTATTCAGGGTTGATTTTGTATTTATAATTGTGCTATTATTTTTGTATTCTGTTTGATTATTTCATTGATGAAAGATTTATTTTGTATTACAATTATATAAGGGGTTTTATTTAGTGTAATTGTATGTTTTGTTTTTGTTGTGAAAGGTTCTTTTGATTTTACTTGTCACTCAACAATTTTGCGTATGTTAATTAGATTCAAAAGGTTTGTATTACTGTGGTGTTATATTATGTACTAGCAAAACTATCCAGCTTCGCTCGGGTTATTAGGTTGATATATTCTAGATGACCATGTCAGTGTGTGTATTCTAAACCCATTTTAGCATAAAAGTATAACCTATATACTTTTGTTGCTAAGCAACAAGACTTTAAAGCCAATGTTTGAATGAGTTGTTACCAAAATGCACTGGCTTTTCTATATATTACAAGTTGTATTTAAGGAACCACTTCTTTTCTATGTGGTTTTTCACCACCTTGCCTCATTAAAAAGATGCACATGCATGTGGATAAGATAAGTAATACCCAGGTGCACACCCTCAGTAGGGTTCAAAAATTCCAAATGTTTGGGAATGAACTGCCACTTAAATAATACTTACATTCATGGTAATAAACAAATAACAAAAATAGTTTTAAAAATGCAGAGATACCTACAAGTTAAAACACTTACATATGAGTACAACTTACATAATATTTATATTAACACAAAATATACATCTTCCCAATTCTTCTCACTTCAACCCGATCAGCATACTCTCCAAAGTGGCAGTTGACATGTGAATGGCCATGATAGTGGTACAGATGATATTTCAAACCTGAGCTAAAGCTTTCCCGGTCTGTTCCAGCTCCATGCATAACTGATGGTCCTCCTTTTTGAGTCAAAGGAGGTGGAGTATTTCTCTGATGCAATTAGCCCTCCTTCCGGCTATATGAAGCCCAGGCTTTAGTCCATGTCATGGCCATCTCCTAACACTACTGCTTCAGAATCGGGATCTGCTGCAAGGAGAGTTATATTATGATGGTAGTAGGTGAGGTACTTGATAAGTTGATCCTTGTCTGATTTTGTTGTAACTCATGGAGAATTTTGGGCATCAGTGGCTCGACTACTATCAAGGTGGAAGCTCCCCCATTCATCTTGAATGTTTTGATCACCAATGTTGTAGATGTTGGGGCTAGTACCTTGACATTTGTATCAGTCTCATTCTCTCAGCTCTGAAATACCATCTGAGTCAACCCCTCGAGAAGACAATTCTGGGAATGTTTTTTGCAGCTTCAGAATGTAGTAGAACCACAGGACGAAGATGCACAGCTAGTGGCATTTCCTACAGGCTTGGTGCTGCCAGCAGTGTGGGATCTGCTGGCTTCTTGGATGCTGCTGCTGGTATGTTCAGGATTGGTTTTGCATCGACTGGACAGTTTGTGGTCAACAGAGGCTGCCTGGCCAGACCTGGGGATGTCAGGACTAGTTCAACAAATGAAGCAGAGAGATCCGCACATCAGATGCATCAACTAGCAATGCACCTTTATCCATGAACTCTGCCACGTTGAATATCAGGCCACCATTGGGAGTCTTGGGGGTAGCTGTGTAAGCCAGATCTTCACCAAAGAGAAAGTCCTGAGCACACTAGTTCTCATCATACATACCTTTATCTTGCAAAATGAAATATGGAGGATCAGCTCACTAGGACTAGATGAACACCATTGGCTAGATGAAGAACAAGACAGCCCAAAATGTCAAGAACTTGATCCTAACTAGCAAAATGGTTTGAAAAATGTAAAAGATAAATTTTGATTGGTCAGATGGTCAGCCAGGTGTGTAGGTTATAACCAGACTCTTCTCTAAAACAACCTATAGAAGCAACATATCTACAGGCTTCCTGTGTGCTCACACCTATATCATCCATGAAAAATATATCCCTAACACCAGTGAATGTCTCTGTACCTCAAGCTTCATTGTATTTTCCTTTAAACAATACCTATAATTGTGCTGCCCTCAGTGACCATTACCATAACAACAGTCAACACAGCTTACCTTCTGACACAGATGCAATCCTTCCACCACCATCTGATTGTTACATAAAGAGAACCCAGGTCCAGAAGGAAAGGAATGCAAAATTGTGTCCATAAACATATTCATTTATACACACATATATATTGCTATACATATAAATCATCATGTACTACTGGCTTATAACAAGCTGTTTCCAGCTCGTCACACCTGTGACTTTGAATCTTAAATGAACAAATTCAGAGGAATGTGTGGGAAAAAGCATCTGTTGTTTATGTGATTTTTATCACAAATTTTAGGCCTATCTTTTTCTAATGCCTTGCCAGCTTTCAGCATTTAAACTGTAATTTTTTAATATTCTATTGAATATATATATATCTATATATAGCATTTCTGATAATCTTTTATCTCTCATTATCCAGCCCAACTGACAAGTTCTAGTATTCAACAAAAAAGCCTCTTGGGTAGTGAATTATGGGAGATAAAAGATAGATCTGAAATGTTATTTTTACACTACTCTATTTTGAGCCCAAAACTGAAAAAAATCAAGAACATGGACAAAAAATCTGCAGTTTACATGTTTTTTTTATCACAAATTTGAGGCCTATTATTTAAGCACAAAGTTTATGATAAACTCATTACATATTATTTACATCATATGTACATGTACTAGGTAGGCTATTACTTTTAATTCTCATTGAAAAGGTGTATTACATTTGTCATTTTAATAATGTTTAATTATTCTGGACTTCACATATCTCTTACACTGCTGCAATGCACTGTTTTTATTTTTTTGTCATCATGATTTAAACGTTTTTCCAAAGAAACAATTTCGCTCCTTTAAATATTAGAACATCTGGACTTTACACTGTTGCAATACAGTGAAAAACTTACATGTTTTCAAACAAACAGGTTCTGAAAATACAATAAATGAAAATAAATTAAGCTTGTAAAACATAAGAGGCAATGTCTGCTGCAAGGATCAAACCCCAAATTTTTGTGATGCAAAAAACTATCAAGCTTAATGTTGAGTAACCAGTGGTCAAGTGACAAGCCTGATGATTTGTAATGATCACAAGGTAAATAAAAAATTGGAAATTTAAAAACCTGCAAATAGGGGTTGTAAAATAAGTAAAGAAACATGGCTGGAGATACTGTAAACATTATTTACTCAAACTAAAACCCATATTTTGGCTCCATACTGTTACCTAGAATTACAATTGGTGAAGTCAAAATTGAGATTTGTAGTTTGAGTAAATAATGTCTACAGTATCTCCAGCCTTGTTTCCTACATTTTTTTTACAATCCCAATTTTTTATCTTGTTTATTGGATTTGTTTATGTTTCACTGTGGGCAAAGGTTTACTTGATATGGTAGCTAACTTTATACGTTATAATGATAATAAACATAGCTAGTAACTAGCTGATACAGTTCATGATGATTTAATGTAGCTATTGACTATTTGATCGCCTTAGTTCGAGATGTTAAATGTTAAGCTGCAGCTAGAGATTGTCATGGAGATTTGTTTTAGAATATAGTGAGCATTTATAGTTTCTGTGTAACTAAAATCTCTCTATATAATGCATAGTAATGAGAAAAGTTAGGCCTATAATAAGACACAACCCCCACTAAGTGCATATAAAATTTTACCAATAGAAAAGCAGCATTTTCAAATAAAACAATATAAGTCTAAAACATTGCTTTAAATAAACCTTCATGTCTTTAAAAGTAATTATTCTCTGAATTTGGGTAATTAAATTTAATATTATTTGTATTGATTTTTTTTTACTCCTTCACTCCAGATATAATATAGAGGTTGGCTTCCTAAAAACACCGATTATACAGTGTAGAAAGCTTTGAGTATCTACATCTTACAATCATCTAATGTTCATCTATTATTGACTGGTAATTCCTGTTTCAGCCTGTACTTAAGCTTTTTTAAAGAAACACTAGGTGCAATATACCAAGTCGCTCTTGTTGTAGCCTGGTAAGAGAATAATAATAATTAGAATTACAAACAAGCCATTTTGAGCAGATTTTCTTTTCTTTGTAAGTCTAACATGCATGCTTTTTTGCACATTTTTATATGTATACAGACTTAGCAGTCAATAATAAAGGTTTTAAAGTGTTGTTTTAACTGTCTCTTTACTTTTTAAACTGCTTTTTCCCCAAACGTTCTATTAGGGTTTTGAGCAATTCTTTGCGATCCCTATTATGAACCACTATCATGGTTCATATTTCTAAGTGATTATTAGTGTAAAGGTAAGAGCTCTTGAAAATAAACTCCAACTTTTTATTAAGCAACAACATAGACATAAATTACTCAAAAAAAAGTTAAGCAGTGAAAACTCAAAAGCAAATGCATAGTAAAATTATTTTTATAAATAATAATAACCATTTTCTATGAGATATAGCAAAGTAATGTGATCATAAATGCCTGAGATTTTATGCACTAATAATGAAAGTTATATAAACACACAGCTTGCTTCCGATAAAAGTTTAAGAATACTAAAGGCATTAAGAAAGTTTTTTCTCATAACTACGATTACTGTATAGCAACTAACCCAATCAGTTTCTGAAAAGAGTAATATATATATATATATATATATATTCAATCTGTGACTTAATTTTTTAAATTAGTTATTGGACAGATTCCATCTAGCATACCCAAACACTGCAAGCAGTGTCTCACCTGTGCACATAACCCATTGTATGCAAGCTCCGGATGGCTAGGACCAATTCAGTCAAATAGAATTTAACCATATCTTCGGATAACATGTTATCATGTCTATCCAAAAGGGACAGAAGGTCACCACCAGGGTGAAACTCCATCACTAGGTATAGGTTCAAGTGATCCTGAAAAGCATATTGTAGTCGAGTGATCCAAGGGCTAGCAGCCTTCACCATAATATCTCTCTCTTCTTCATAAAAAGCAACCTAAAGATTAAAAAAAAAGTTATACACTTTCTATACTCCAACATGAGGATATATAAAGTCATATTCAAGAGATAATTATGAAAATAAATTTTTTTTGATGAAATAGATAGGTTATACACTATTAAAATTTTGCTTAGTTAAAAAAATCTGTATATTTTAAACCAAGGTAAGGTCAACAGAATGCAAAAATTGTGCTCCCAATATTTATAGTCCTGAAATGTTTATAAAATTAGAGTAACTGAATGTGAGCTTAAAAAAAAACAAGTAATTCTATCATCTTCTAATATAACTTGAATTATTCATCCATAACAACAAATATTTGAGATTCTGTTGCACTAAAATTTAAATATCTATTGTAGAAAAAGATTAATGATTTTTGACTTAAATATGTACACATGAACAAACGATATTGTTGCTGATGTTATTCAGTATAAAAGCAAATGTCTTATGAAATGTAGAAGAATCCACATGACCCATACATTCTGAAGTGTCAAATTCATACAAGACTTCACAATATAACTTAATCTTTTTTACCATATTTTGTTGACAAGAGATAGACCTGGGCAATTAAGTTGATTAATCAATTACCTATGAGCATTGGTTACATCAATTATCGTGACATAAAATAACCAATTAATCAAAATGACAATTAAATCTATTAATGTCAAGAAAATAATGAAGTAATCAATATTAGGGTTTCAAATTCTTCCAACTATCTAAGAAATCAAAATATTCTCTTTATGATTTTGATTAATTCAAAGTTGGCCAGCTTAATCGATTAGTGTCACAATCCACAAAAAATAAACTAACTGAAATTACTTTTCTGATTATTACTATTTTTGATTATTCCAATTATCCAAGTCTCAGGTGATAATAACCAAGCAGTTGGATGTAATTGATTAACCAGTCCAACAATTAATCGATTATCAATTGACCAGCTCTAATGAAGGATGGCCTCAACAGATCACATGTTCTTCTTTTATGCTACCTTTTATAATCTTTTTAAAACAGTCATCTCACCAAATACATAAGAAGTATAAACATACATTTATACAAAGGACCCCAAAGCCTGACATCCTCAAATTGAACATGCATCAACTGAGACAACCAGGATACAAGGCATTCAAAAACAAAAACATAATTCAATTGTCTGATAGACAGAGATGCAAAAATAATCTCTCTTCAATTTCATTTTTTTAAAGAAAACTGAGGATAAACATATTTGCCAAAGTGCTAAATGAATATTAGAGCTTCAATTTAGAAAGAAGCAAAGTAAGCTCAGTCACTCTAGGAGATCACAGTTTAGATTTTGAAGACATTAACCTATAAATTAAATAACAATTACGACAGAGAAGTTTTAATAACAAACTGTTTCTGTTAAACTAATGCCAAAAGACTTTACAACAAGTTGTTGGAATTGATGAATTTGGTTGCTGTTACTGCTAGCATGTTACATATACACATTTCCAAGAGTTGGTTAAATTATTATGGAAAAATTATTTAAGGTCTTATAGAGTTTTTGTTAGGGTTTGTAATAAGATGAGTGTGAACCTATGAAAAAGTGATATCTTATGAATTGGCAAAACTGTGGATAATTGATGTTGAGGTTTCTAAAATAAAGGTAAAATTGGCATTTTACAACATTTTTCTAAAACATTCCTGATCATTAACATACACAGACTGTTTAGTCACATTGGCAATAAAAAATAGGCTAAATTTTATGGAATAGATTTTCATTTTACAGACGTTAACTGGATTTCTATCTTCTTGTTCAAATTTCGTGAGATTATGGATGTTTATTTTCTCATTAAGCATACCAACGACTTATAGAAAAGCTACTATTTTTGACCTGATTCTTAGCATGACAAGGATATGTTTTCAAAATGTTGTACAAGGGTAGTTGAGGATTAGTGACTATAATAACATTACCTTTGATGCTTATTTTGAAATCTACTGTACAATTAATAGTAGTCATGAGAATGATAATTAGGAAACATAGCTTACATAAAATGTAAGAATTTGTGGGAGTAAATATTTGGAAGTTTAATCTGAATGGTAAAAAATTTAAAGAAATCTTGGAAAAGTTTTATTTAATGCTGAAAGGGAATAAATTTTATTTCAAAAACTTGTAGACCACAAGCACTTCCTAAATAGATGAACAGTTTCCTAAAACAGACAAGGCATGTTTCAAAGGCTGTTATACATTATTCTTCTTACTCAAAAATTGTACTAGGTCATATTGAAAGATATATTTGAATATATTTCCAGTCTCAATAAATCATGTACATTTTTAAATATTTCATATTAATTTCAAAAAATTAAAAAGCAAAACCTGGCTTTATATTAACAGCTTTTTGCCCAGCTATAATAACATACATCTATCCAAGAAAAGTACATAATAATTCAAACTGCACACAATGCAACATTAGGAAAACTGTTCCACACATTTACAACACTAAATAAAGATTTATATATGTGTGTGTGTGTGTATATAGGCCCCCAGTGGCATAGTGATATGTCTGTGGACTTGCAAGGCTAGAAACCGGCCAGATCACAGATAGCTCATTGTTTAGCTTGGTGCTTAACTTCAAACAAATCAACCAACAAACAAATATATGTATATTCTTCTAGTGCATCTAACAAGGAAACAAAATTAGCACAAACTATGCTAAATGATCTCACACCAGCCTTAATTGAGGTAGATAATATTCTTACACCCAAAGTCAAAATTTCAATCAACAAAGCCAAGGGTTGTTATTTGATCTTTAAACCACAATTAAATACTCAACCAAAGGAGATTCTATTGTTTTATTAACAATTAACTGTAAATCTTTGTCTTCTACCTCAACATCAATTCTCATCTCCTCCAAGATACTATATCCCAAGTAAAAAACATTACTCCTCCTAATATTAAACTTGTTTTCCACATTCCTTTAGTACCAGTGAGAACTTTCTGAATAATACATATATTCTCAGTAAAATCAGCCATTCTCAACATCTTCATATCATCTGCAAATTTGAAATTTACTGTCAAAAATGCTTTTAAGATCAACATGCTTCATGATCAACAAAGTTTTCAAAACAAACTTTTGAAAACCTCAACAACCGTATTTTCCCAATTAGAAGTATGACCATTTACAATCACTTTATGTTTACCACCCATAAATAACAAAACCCAAACAATACACACACACACACACACACACACAAAAGCATATAATATGGGTCCAAACCACAAGATCACATTGGAGATCTCACAGAAACCAGAGCGTTTGCCTGGAAAGCTAGTGATTATAGTCAAGTCAAACAGAGACATCAATCAAGAAGATACAGTTAGAACATATGAATCTACTGCAGGCCCTTGCTCTCTATTTGCAGATGACTTGCCATTCCTGTCATTTATGGATAAATCGATACTCACTTACCAGATTGAGAATCTTGTAACTACGAATTCCCCAGATGACAGTCTTAAAACCATGGTTGAAGATATAGCAGACAACCAACCAGAACAGTGTATTCCACAAGGATCCACTAGTAATAAAATTGCAATTGTGGATGGGATGGTTATCATTCAGAAACTAAAGAAGCATCCTTGGATGACCTGACAAATCACTCCACAAAACTTCTGCAAAACAACCCAGGTTTACAATGAAGTATACCTACTCTTTCACACCTACAAAAGTCACAACCAACACAAGACAGATGAGAATATGAGGGTGGGGGAGATTACATATAAAGTGGATGACACAGAACCATTAGCAGTGTCACTATTTAGTAGCTGTCACCTTCAGACAAAACAAAGCAAGATTTCACTGAGAAATGTCTCAGTGCATTCAGAAACACAGAGAAAGTTCTTCATACACAAGCACCTTGAAATATATACTACAGTTCCAACAAGGAACTCAAGTGTCAATAATTACGAAGAAGCTGACGCCTTGATGATGTGGTATGCCATATATGTTCATAGAAACTTTCCATCTGCTTTAGAGCCTTGTGTTTTCTCACCTAACACAGATTTCTTTGCTCTAATGATTGCAAAATTTCACAAGCATATTTTCAACATGAATATATCTATTGTAGCTGGGAAGATTGTGGTCTAGGTAATCTATAACTTGGTAGGAGTGAAAACAGACAAGGCCTTTCTGGGGTTCTGTGCCTTTGCAGGCAGTTACACAACCGAACAATTTGCAGGCAAGAGCAAAGTAACTTGCTTACAACTATTTCTCAAAGCAGATTAGAGCAATATAAATGTATTTAAGGTATTGTGCAACAAAGACGATTTCAGTCCAGCAACTGAAGATGCACTTGCTAGTCTTGTATGTCAAGCATAATTCCACCCTGGAGTTATCAAAGGAGACCTGAAACAACTTCAGTGGCATCTGTAGAAATATCATGTAACGAGTGAGCATTTGCACCCAAAAAATGCTGTATTACATTAAAATATTCTCCAAGCCCTCATATGGGATCAGGCACACATCCTATTTAGAACCAAAACAGAATAAATGGAGTAATTCACTTGTATCTGTCACATCAAAGTTCAAACCAGCCCCACAACCAGTCATGGAGTTAGTGAAATGCTCATGCAGAAAGAGCAACTGTGCATCCAACAAATGCAAGTGCAAGTGCAAAATGCATGTACAGAGTTGTGTATGTGCATAGTGTGTGAAAATGAGGATTGACGGGAGTTTGTTCTGATGATACTGATTAGGACATTTAAATTACAAACAATGTGCCACCTAGACATAGTGCAGCAAGAGAACTGATTATATTAATGTTTGTATTCATTTTCATGATATTAAGAGATCATATAACTTTGTGACAAGCCGTAATTAATCAAATTATTGTATTTTCATTTCAATAATCCTTCAATCTAAACTACAGGCATATCAAACAAACAATACATTTGAATACAACTACAGTACCTCACAAAAGTAAAACAGATATTTCATTCATCTCCCTCTAAGGGCATGTTTGTACAGAAGTTTACATGATGATATTTATGTATAATACATACATTGAGTGGTCACAAGTAAATAGACACCTAATTTTTCGTCATTTAACTGATTTATGCAAACTAATTTGTGTTCACAGAGCACTATATAAATGAAAATGGTCTGCACACTAATTATCTTGTGCTACAACATGCCTAGAACTCAAGGTTCTCTCGAATTGTCAGATTTTGTTAGAGGAAGGATAGTTGGTCAAGCAGATGGTGGAATAAGTCAGCAGCAATTTTAGCAAAATTTGAGAATCCCTCTTTCGACAGTCAACAGAATCATCGTGCAGTTCAGGAAACACAGCAAGGAAACAACAAAGCAGCGTCCGCGTCGTCCCTGGTCCATCGGAGAGGACAAAAAGGGCTGTCAAGAGGAGCATCAAAA